ATTTATTGAAATTATATAATAAAAATTCTATTTATATTTATAGTTTGATGTAACTTCTATTAATATTGATATAACTTTTATTGTTATTATTAATTACTGATCAGTATTTTTTAAAAATACTGAAACCGATCGGTACTTTACTGAAAATTTCAGTTTGGTATTTTAGTTTTAAAATTAATACTGAAACTGAAACCGATAAATTGGTAACAATATTTATCAATACCGATTGAAATCCTAACTATAGATTTTTATTTAATAATAAATTCCAATCAACTTTTTTTAAAAAATAATTTAATTAAAAATTTTTTTATTTTAAAATATAATTTTTTTTGAGCTTGATAGATAATATTTAAATATAATTATTGATAAATCTTCATTTTAAAAATAAAGATTATAATATAATTAATTTAAGGTTACTTAATATATAATTAAAAAAAAATATTAAAAATATTATACAAGCTTTATAATTATTACTTGTTACTGTTTATAATAATTGCAATCAAGTATAAACAAATAAATAAAAAATTATAAAAAAAAATATTTTATAATATGTTAATATCTATTTAATTAATTAATTGTTTTATTAAATAATTTTAATATGTATTTTTTTATTTTTAATATTTAATTATATATAGTTAATTATTTAAAAATCCAGTAAAAATTTTTTTACTAGATTTTTTTATTATCTTAAATTAATAAATTTATTAATCAACTATTAATGAAACTTGAATATTTGTATTATTACATTATAAAAATATATATTAATTTGACATTAAAATTAGTTATAAACATCAATACAATAATTATAAATTTTAATAATAAATTATCAATTCTATATACAAGAATCATTATAATTAATAGATTATAAACTTGTTAATATTAAAAAAACAATTTGATTTTATAACAGTTTATAGTATAAAATTTAATATAGGAATTATTAGTAGACTATGAATTGGTTAATGTTATAAAATCCATTTTAATCATACAATAATTTATAAGTTAAGTTGATACATAATATATATATATATTATGAATTAACTGATCTTAACAAATTAATAATTTTTTTATATTATACTTTCTCTTGAATAATTGAGAAAATAATGTAAAATCAAGTTTATATTTAGTATGGCAATAAGTTGTGTAATGAGCTAATCCTAGTAATATTCATTTTTGTTTTAATTGGATTTGATTAGATTTATGAACATGTATATTTTTATAACATCTTTTGTAAATCCTTTTTTAAAATTTGATACTGATCAATAAAATTCAAGATTCCGATCTTATCAAAAAAAACAAAGAGATTAAATATCATTTCATTAATATTACATTTTTCATTATTTTTTTTACAATACCAATAAATTTATTGCTAGCACCGTATGTGGACGGAGCATGCTGCATCTTTCGATTGAGAAAAACCCATTCATGCAGTTGATGCAAAAATCGGCAAGAAATTTTCGTAAGAAAATTGATTTTACATTATGAATCAGTAAGTAAATACAGTAAATAAATGAGTAAATGTATATATTATATAAAGTATATATACATATATTTTAAAGTTTCACATTAATAGACGCAAATAAATAAATAAATAAATAAATAAATAATAGAAAAAAAAAAAAGGATTATGTCCAAGGCCAATAATTGGTATTTTAAAATTATATCACGATACCTAAAAAAAATTTTCGGGATCAATTTATTTATTTTTTTTTTGGGTGCATCGGATAAATGATGACAAATAAATGAACGAGCGTTCACAATTTTTCCAGATGGGCAAGGTGATTATTAATATGTTGAGATGAAAAAATAAATGTATATATATACAGTGTATAAAATATATGGTGTTTGAATGAGTACTCATTCATTGTAAATTTAATTAAATGTACAATAAAATATTATCACTTTGTATGACTTATGGAAACGTAAAACAAGATGACTCATTGATCAAATTCATAAAAAAAAAAATCGTCACTTTTAATTTCTGGATGTTGATACTTTATTTCAAACCGTTTAGTTAACTACGCAGTGTATGTGCAGTATATTGTACGATTTTCAACGGTTTCAGCATTATCCTTGAGCATGGTCATCATTACGCAATCATGTAGTAGATTATTTTGCTAATATGCATACGTACATACGTCCACTGATGTCAACGATCAATGTGATGACATATTAGAATATAATTATAGGGACGATGTCGCCGGTGACCGTATTGTCTTCACACCGTCTTTCGAAATGGCGTACGAGAAACAAGTAAAGATCAATAATGAAAAGAAAATTAAATCCAAAATCTCACTTCACGATCCACTTTCTCTTGGCGGACGCATTAAACGTTCGGTACGTGAAATGCCACCCGAAATAGTTCCTTTTGTGGTGATCGTCAGTGCGGCTATATTTGGAGGTCTTGTGGCCTTGGGGCACAAGCTTACCACGGATAAGCAATTAAGAAAATATCCCACGCACAGGCACACGGTGGCTGGCAAATAAGTACGAAAGGTATTGAGGGATGCGTGCGAGCAAGCAAGAAACGTATTTAGTGCACATTCAAATTTTCCGGTGGCATGTTCATGATACTTTCTTCACGCAAAGAAAAAATAAAAAAAGCAACTTTTTTTTGAAAAGTAAAGTTTTTTGAATTTTTTTTTTATTTTTAGTATTTTCAAGCTTTTTTTCTTTTTTTGTAATAGAAAAAAATTTGATAATAAATAAAAATACAAGAGAATATAATGGAAGTGTATATAATAGGAAATAATGGTATAAAGATGAAGGATATTAAATTTGATTCCAATAAGTATAAAGAAAAAAGAAAAAGAAAAAGAAAAAAAGAGATAAGAAAAAAGAAAAAAAAAAAGAAAAGTCTATTTACAAAGGTTTCAGTGTGTCGGAAACCTGAAGACGGGACATTCACAAAGGTTACACGTAAACTACATTGGAATTACATTGTGGAATTGATTGAAGGTAAATTGATAGTCCCGAGTCGCTAGTTGGGTCGTAGTTTACTTGGAAGATATCCTAGCGCCATGAAGAGTTATTGTAGAGAGAAAGAGCTCAAAGGTCGTCTATGGGAAAGAAGCAAAGTTCGTGATAATAAGTAGGCTGCATTCAGACAGGATGGAAAATTGAATGAATTGAATGCGAATGTAAATGTACCTCATGTTTGCCGTGAACAAGTTAATGCCCCAGCGGCGCAGGTCTATTTAGACAGTCATGTGAC